TCTGTGCTTCAAGTCGCTGCTGATGACGCTGCTTCCGGCATCAGTTTTTGGTTTTTGGTGTCTCTCTTCGTCTGATGCCTACCCTTTGACCTGTCCAGCAAGGGAGGCCCTGCCAGTAGCTACGCTACCGCTGGTATAGCTCTCAGGGTCCTTGGCATACTCAAACCCCCTCACCACGTTAAGGAGACACCAACGAGGGGGAATTTCCACAATAGGGAATAAAAAAGACGCTGTCTGTAACTGCAGCTCCGGATAAACCTTCTATGGGGAGAACCCAGACTGGACAGAGGGGTTCCACGCTAATATCTGACGAGGGGACGAGAAGACTAAGCAGTCAACATGTATTGCTAGGTTCAGTACCGGATCTCCTAGCGTCGTGTTGAAACACAACTCTGGAGGCAGGTGTGAGAGTATCCTGAGCAAAATCATTGCGACTTGATCTCTGGCACACCACCATGATGAGGCTCCCTCCCAAACCACTGTCATGTGGGCCAGAGAGCCCGTGACACAGGAGCACTGCAATCGCTGCATCCACAACGAATCCTTCCGTCTGGAGAACCGATCTGTAAACACGAAAACTTGATGATCCTCAGCATCAAACAAGCAAAAGCACAATGGACCACTGTAGGTCGCGGTGCAAGGGCCGAGAAGGCCTACCCCTCGTACATTCATTCACTCATTCATCAAAGAAGCAAATTAATAAGAACGTGAATCAAGCCACTTGTATTCATACCGGAAACAGTGCGAAAGCGTTTCATTACCTGCCAACTGATGAACAGACAAGTGAATCGGCACTTAGGGCTGCTTGGGTGTAGATTTCCTCCTTGGAGTCAAACGGAGGCAGATTTGTTTCAGCGGAAGCTGTTGGCAGGAATCTGGCCAGGAGGGTGGGCATGCCCCATAATATTGTTGCAACCATTACTATGAACATGCACAGCACCACGGCCGTAACCAGCCACTTTTGGCGCTTTTCGAGCAAGCTTTGGCTGTAACAGACATTGAACCATGGAATAAGGCTATCCCTTGTTGCTAGGACCAGCTGGGATGATGTATGCTTATCGTGGGTTTTCAGAAACTGTTTTCGTGTTGCATACTTTACACTTGGAGATATGATAAGATGGATTGGATTGATCTGGCTTAGGATAAGGACCAGTTCAAGGCTCTTGTGAACACGGTAATGGACATTCGGGTTCCATAAAATGCTGGGAATTTCTTGAGTAGCTGCACAATTCGCGACTTCTCAAGAAGGGCTCAGCTCCATGTGTGAGTGATACTTTACATTGGAATACTTCATTAGGTCCGTTATAGTTTATATTTTTGGGTGCCAGAGTTTGGCTCCCTGGTCATCCCACTACAGTTACTGCTCGTATAATACAGAACTTTCCATTTATACGCATCCTAGAGTGGCTGGTCAACACGTAAATGTATTTATGTTTCACTCTTGTTCTCTCTAACCATCTTCTCAAATTTCTCTTTATGATAGATACACTCTTATCTTCTGCTAGTGCCATTTCTTCTTGCATCCTACCAACCTCCTAACATCTATTTATGCATTAATATTCATACTCTTCTTGTCCAAAATATCGTCTCTCCAAATCTTTTTCTCTTCACATTTCAGTATGTCCCTTCAGTGTTCTTCTCTGTCACATATAGGGCAAATCCCTTGTACACTTTTCCCTTAACTCCCTTCGGCATCCAGTCTGCTTTTTTCAAACGTAATACTTGTATTCCTCTCCTGGCTTCTCCTATACACAATTCGGTACATAACTCTTATTCCACTGGTTCCTTAAACTGGTGCGCAACGTTAGTGGGTTCTCTGTCTCTGTTCCTACCTTCCACATTGTGCCTTTCTATATCAGCACATTATCTACTTAATACTTGTTGATGGTTCTTATTTATATCAATTCTTGTAATACAGAAGTCCATTCATTACATTGATTGGCTCCGGGATGGATGACCAGTTTTTGTTTCCAGTCAGCAGCAGTGAGTTGTCTCTTCGCCACCGCATCCAGACCGGTTCTGCACCCCCTCCTATAGCGTTCTACCCAATTGGTGGGTAAAGCGGCCGGAGCGTGAAGCTGGTTATTCACCTGCATCTAGTGGAGAGGTTAAGAATACACGGAGCTCTATCTCGACTTCCCCATATATTCTCATGGCATGTTGGTTAATTAATCACAGCGATATTTTAATGCAGATGCCCCGCAGTTCAGAGAAAACGTAACAGTACTTAGGAACAAGCAATACATATGAAGTGTGGCAAACAAAACGTTGTGATTAAGACAAGAAGAGACAATTTTTAAAAAGTGCACCGTTAACTAAAGGAACATGAAACGTATCAAGGTAAGAGCACAGAGTGGTGCTGAAGTGAAACAGCTGACAATACTGGGTCTCAGCTTCTTAGCAGTATCCCATGAAGTCTACAGGAGTAGTATAGGCATCATTGACCTTGACACTAATTGGAAATGAGTTGTCAGGTTCAGGGTCAAGACAATTTACCACTGATGACAGAACTTTTGGTGCGAATTGCCTATGAGGCCGTGCGTGTCCCACAGTCAGTACAGACGTGATAACAAAGACAGAACTCTTTTAGTCCTGCTTTGTGATCTCTTGTCAGATATGTAGACACTCGTTGGAATGTACTCAGTATAGCGAATCAGTTACGGCCTGCACAACCTGGAAATCTGCTTTCGGTTTCCGACAGATGAAAGCGTCCTTACATTATAAAGAGTCCTGACGATGGTGTATAACGTTCGGAATTACTGGCTTTTCGGACTTTGTCCATCGTCCGGTATTCTAATAACTAGAAAACACAATGTTTCGGAAACAGCCAGTGATTGAGGTTAGCTCTTACTAAGGGACCCAAAAGAGTAGGTGTCTCCCCACCCCCTCACCTGAGGGAGGAAACAGACGCAGAAATTTTCTAGTTTTCAGAATACCGGACGATGGAAAAAAAAAAAATCCAAAAACCCAGTAATTTTGAAAGTTTTTTCTTCATTCCATGGCTTCCATTCTCCTATGCGATGAATATCGGGTTTCTCCCCAGGGATAAAGCTACCAGGGCGTGAAGCTGTAAACGTATCTGTATGTAGCATAGATATTAAAAGGGTCAGTCGAGTCATGTCTTCATGGCGTGGTGGTGAATTAAGAATTAGGACAAGTTTACCTTTGCCATTATGTCCCGACTTATTTAATCTACGTGTCAGAACATGGGCTGAGATGCAGCCTCCTGCCCTCACGATGGGATGAAAAGAAGCACGTGTCGTAGTGTTGCTACTGATTAGTTGCTTTCTTATTCTGTGCAGGCGGAAGGATATTCTGTGTGGCTCATCCCCACTACGCTACGCCTCACAAAACAGTTACGCGTGAGGGAGGCGTAGCAAGAGACTAGCCAAGCCTGTACTTGTAGTTGCATTGTGTCTAACATAAGAACACGCCCGTGCTTCATTTTTAACACGTCAACGTATGTACACTGCCCCAGAACGTGACATTACTGCAGAAACCCGAATATAAGGAAACCACTTATTTTTCCAACGATAAAATCAGTAGAGAACTCATAAATAAGAAAGAAGGGGGTTCCCTTATATAAAGAGATGTCTCTATTATTCCGCTTATACGTTTCGGTTCAGATCAGGTGATTGGTGATGAATGTAGGTTAGCAAAAAGAATTAGGTCTTCTTGTGTTGTATAAAGTAAACACAACTTTTACTAAGTCCAAAAAAAGGCCGCGTCATAGCTCAAGTGGTTAGTCGCTGGCTTCCCATCGTTACGGCCCGGGTTCGATCCCTGGTCTAGTCAAGTGGGATTTGTGGTGGACAAAGTGGCGCTGTGGCAGGTTTTCTCCGAGTACTTCGGTTCCCCTACCAATCTTCATTCCACCAATTGCTCCACAATCACCCTCACCTATCATCTGGGGCTGGTACAATAGACCAGAAGTGGCCGCAGTACAACGGACTTAGTCCCACCCCACTAGCAATAAAAAGAAAGTCCAAAAGACCAGTTGGTAGAAAACACAGAGTTAGGGTCTAAGACTCAGGTGAACTTCTAACTGAAGTGAAGCAGAGTTTCGCCTTCCAAGACGTTGCCGTAAGATCTGAGCGAGGCGCGGTCACGCCAGTCTCTACTTATAGGACCAATCTGGGCGTTGGCTGGAGCAAGGAATGTGCACGTGGCTTCAACTCGCGATGCATTAGTCTGACAATAAACAGAGCTCCCGGTGCATTAGCTTGTCATGTGACAGAACTTTCTTATGGAATGGTTTGTACACTTTAAACTTCTATAAACATGAACACACGTGGTGTGACTTCCTTATTGTAGGACCCTTTCATCGTAGGGTCCTGACAGATTTGTGGTAATGGATCAAAGACATTTTAGTTACTCAACCTTTTAGCTTGAAAGGCTTTCACAAAGCACCTCTTGTTTTATCTTATTCTAAAGCACTGTTTCCCCGTACATAGTTTTCTTAGAATTCTTGGTCCTACATATAGTCTCGTTCATATTAAAATCTACGTACTTTACAATATTTGTTACAATAGTAGTTACAAATAGCTGTTACAATTGGCTTCGTGATACCTTAATTGTATATCTTAATGGATTTTAATAACTTTTAATACAATATTAAAATGATATATTACTTTTTCAATACACTCCTCATTACAGGTGTTAGGCTGAAGATTTTACTGTGTAAAAAACTCAACTCAAATAAGCGAAAGCCGGATGCAATCCGCCAGAATCTTATAGAAAGTTATGGCTCAAAAAAGGGCTGTTTTGCCGATGATGGTGGTGATAATGTTTATAGTTTCTACTCAGCTAGCTACACGCCATCTTAACCGTTGATTTCTGTTGGTCACCACGATTTTATTCACCTAAATATCTAGTGGCAATGACCGGATGTAAGCAAACTTTACAGATCCTCTCAGAGGATTAAATTATATGGGTTAATGCAGTGCTTATAGGAGAGCTGTTGGGTGGGGATTTACGAATGCTGATACTAGTCAACACCAAGGAGCCTAACACAGGATTTCAGCATGACGCTTACAGGATTATACAAGGCGAAATGAGAGCAACCAATAAAGAATCAAAATTCTGTTGAAAAAGTAGTAGAAATCCTAATTTTATTCTGTGCTTGGATGATGCCGGTCACGGAAGCCGAGCTGTCTGAAACATATACTATCTTCGCTCGTTCGGAAGCCAGGATCGCGGGTTCGACTTCCATACAAGGCATGGATGTGTGGTATGTGTTTATTCTGTGTTTAGGTAGAAGCCTTGACGATCTGATCACCCGTAAAGGGAGTCCTACCGTCTGTAAAATTATTAAAATTAAAAAAAAAAACCTCGACACCATAAGGTATAAGAGGAACGGAATTAAGTAAGTAAGTAAATCTGGATGATGACATCTGCACACGTAGGTTGCACTGCTTCCGAGACACAAAGAGCTGATGGTTATTAAGAGTCAACATATTTAAACAGGCCTATAGTCACGCCGGGCCGACATCTCTAATTTAGCTGCAGGCATCAGAACCCATATTTACCCCAGTGCTCTTATCTTTGTTTTCTTCTGATGCAGGTCAGAAGCCGCCATGAAACAGCAGGACGAGATTCTTGTCAAGTCCAAAGATCTCTCCAGTTGCGTTTCTCTAAGGGCACTCCACATTCCAGAACGTTTGTGACACGTTGTATTCTGGTGAAAGCTCATTGACGTTTTAAAGGAAGGTCGGTAAAATTCTGCCAGACTCTATGGCGTCACATGAAGTCACTACTCTTTACAGACACCGCTGTGAGAATTCCAAGTCTAACTCACATCCGTCTATAAAGCTAACATAGTCTTTTGTTTTAAATGTTACTTATAATTATATTTAATATTCATAAAATATCATTAAAATGTCGTTTGTTTCTACATGTTTCGGCCTCACGAGACCATCATCAGGCAACTGTTCATTGACGGAAATCACTGCATTACATAGGCTCACACGTCAATATATTTATATGATGTTGTTGCATATCGTCGTATTCAAGAATGTACGCCCGCACTTTGCTCATGGTATTTGCGTGTTGCAGACTGCGGCCACCTTCTCACTCTGGCTCCTCGCTTTCGGATTTTCTCTTTCTTTTTTCTTCTACCCTGAAGATGGAGGCGATATGTTCCTCCGAAACGTCAGTTTATACTATGTCTACACGGCCCCACATCCCAGAAGACGGCATTCTTAAATATTAAATTGGATCTTAGATAGGATGAGGTGGTATGAACTGGATTGATCTGGCTCAGGATAGGGACAAGTGGAATGCTCTTGTGAACACGGTAATGAACTTTCGGATTCCGTAAAATGTTGGGAAATTCTTGAGTAGGTAAGCGACTGGTGGCTTCTCAAAAGGTACTCAGCTCCATGGAGTTAGTTAGTTGGATAGTTAACGAGGAGCGCACACAGTCCATACTAATCCGGTTCACGCCCGAATAAGGCTCGTATCATGGACCTACCCCGAGGCAGTGCGCTCTGACAAACGAAATATTTAAGGCACCAACCCGCCAGTTAGTTTTATTCCTGTTATTTGACGACGTTGCTTTAACTTTTCAGAACTCTCCTTGCTAACTGCTTCGTGCTAGTTTCTTGCTTGGCTTATTCTTGCACCCTGAAGATGAAACGTCCGTTGATTTTCAAAGAATTATATGCCAAAGACAGAACTCTTCATAACGACCGAAGTGATTTGATATTTAATACTCGTATTTAGACAAAGTTCAACCCAGCGCCTTGTCATGCTGACGGAGAATACTGTGGGAGACTATAAATTGCGTTTTACGACTGCAACCAACAGTGCAACATCTGGAACCTGTGTAAAGATGTTCTATGCCCTTATTCGTAAAAGTGTCAGGAAACCTTGAATGGGGAATCAGTATTTATTTAACTATTAAGTTTTCTGATGATAGAGTTCTTGCGAAGTTCTGATCATGCTACGGTTTGTGCCTGCAAACGTAGGGATTTACATAGGCCCTTTTTCTCCCATCCACCCAGAGAGTACTACCGCGTGTCCTAGAATGATTCGGAGAGCTTCTGCTAAAGTTAGAATCAGGTTCTAGAGCCAAAGAACAGTAATAAGGAAACAAAGGAGAAATGAAAAATGGGGAGAACGAGGACGTAACAAAAGAAGGAATGAGGAAAAATGGTACAAATAAATAAGAAAGAAAATGACAAAAATTAAGTACCTGCGCACTCACCATTCTGGTGTTATGTGATGATAGTACAAACTCTTTCCGCGTTCACTTGTAGGGAATGAGCCATAACTTTGGCGCGACTCCTCATTAACAAGGCATATCCTTTCATCTCCCATCTTCACAAGCCGCTGTTGTCCACCCAGCCGAAATATAAGATAACAAATGGCCACTCCATGTGTCAAGAGCCTTTGACTCCAGATATGATTGTTTATTTACAGTCCGAACTCTAAGAAAGCGTTGTGAGCAGGAAACAGTGAATAACTGAAGGCACGTGGCCCTTGCACGTTTCTCGCGACGCCCAGAAGACCTTGTTGAGCACTGTGAATGTATAGCTTAATTTTCATATTTTACAGAGAAATACAATACTCGTTGTAAAATCAAATCACTTTCATATAGATATCCATATTGATAAATACATATTTATTATAAATATTACACTTATTACAGTTAAACAAAATTAGGGAGGCCACAGAAGTGCATGAAACTCAGAAATGGGCTACGAGCAAAGAAAAATTGAGAACACTGCTATAAAGTATACCGCACCATAACCTACTACACTGCTCACTAACTGTAACTGAGAACAAATGGGTAATGGAGCTGATAACTGCTACCTACTGCTGACAAATCATAAGCAAACGCCCACACATGAACCGCACTGCTCGCCTTGAAACATAATGCAGTCAGGTGATCCACAAAGACAATAACTTCCCTTAATTCCAAATGTTATCAGCCATCAGGCATACTGATTCATCGGTAAAATTCGTATGCGCCTAGCAGCCCATGTTTTCAAGAACAGCTAATGAACACATAACTGCCTACTTCGGCAACTAACACAATATTTCTATTCACCATACAGAACATCTGTAACATTCTGCCTCTTTGCTCATCTCTCTAATCTCTGTCGCATTATATCTACCACTACGCCAAGACAGTACTGCGCTTTTCTTACTTAACTGTCATCTATTTGCATGATAATATATTTCATCGTAAATTTCGTGATGGATCTAACGCTGAATAATATATTGTGACGTGCCGACAGGAAGGTCGGACGATAAGACGTCTATTACTAGTCAACGGCTAGCAATATCTAAGGAACAAATTGTTTGAGACAGTAAACATATATTCCCGCGGCAACAAGAAAATCTTTTGCATAACATCGGGAATAATGTATTCCCGCGGCAACAAGAGATTCGTTTGCATAGCAGCAGGCGAAACTGAACCCTTCGACAGGGTGTTCCCTATTTAGCCCGAGTGCAGGATATAACAGTTCAACTTCGGCAAGAGACTAGTAGAGTTCGTATCCGACGACAGTTAAGGACAGTTGAGCTCCGAGCAGAGCAGAAGACACTTCACCGAGACTAGCAGTGCAGGAGTGTACGTGTATAACATTGAAAAGTGTACGTTCGAAGACGCTATAAGTGCCAACAATTTTATTTGTGAGTGTAAAGAGTGATCGACCAATAAGCATTCGCCAAATCCGAAACCCACGCAATTTTCTTGTCATGTTGCCTAGGAAACACGCGAAAATATGTTAAACCACTACAGATAATCATAAACATTGTAATTTGTTATTATTGATTGCCCATCTGAATTTTTTTTTTCTAAAATCAAAACATGGTGTAAATTATTGATGCAAGGGATATGTGCCTTAGAAATCTGTGAAATTAAATTCAAACCTAAAACTACGCATAGGTCTCGTAAATTCACGTAAGTTGTGCTGCTCTCTCTCCACACTATGCCTGCACATCATGGTCACACAGTTCACAGTTCAGTTTGCTGGAACCCCGACCATGATAAGAAGGAACACCGTCACTGTCCGGCTCGCTTCCATCTTATGGAGCTTTCTTGTTGCGGTACTTAAGGACACGAAACCTTAAGGAGAGGATGGTCTTAAGAAACAATAAACGGTGGAATGGAGAAACTACACGATGAGAATGCGTCTTCATGTTGCAATGGAGGGAGTTTCATGGTTAGGATATTCATAACTCTTACTCTTCATGTAATGTTGACTGATTGGTACATCAGCTACTGCTCTGACACTTTAAAACTAACTCTACTCTCTCTTGTTGTGCCATTATTATGTATGTTTTGAAAGAAATGCACAACACGAAGGTATAACTGGGATATTTTTCAGTTCTCATGTCTCACCTCCACAATCGTTTGACGGATTTCGATCAGATTTTGTATTGTGCTTCTATATTAAACAGTGTTGAGTTACTTCAGTTTTGGTGCGTACCATTCGACCGTTATTCCTACTTTACGGGAAGACGAAACTAAGCCCTCGTATATTTCAGAATATAGAGCAAGTGTAGACATAGCTTACACGCCCTGGCTTCTTTTTATTTCGTTCAGTTGTGCCGAAAGCCTTAGAGTTGTGGAAGAAAGTCTATTCGAAACAAAATGTCTGATTCGTTTATCTGTACAGCATTTACTCATAACATTTTTCGTTTCGACAAATATTTAGCAAGTTTTTTTCATTTACATAATACCAGTATTAGCAATCAGAATTACATTTGATTCTATAAGCTAATTAGCTGTACTATTCTTCGTGACGTGGAGAGGGTTTATCCAGAGATAAGTCCTCGTTAACCCTCTCTCAGGTCGGCTAGCCAATTACTTTTTAGTCTTCGTCCATTGTGAGGTTCCAGTAACGGTTGCATTAGTACGTTCTCATGTCCTTCTGTTTTGTTGAGGTATCTTGTGCTTTTCCTTTTTACGACTTCCTTCACTAGCGGCACTTTCAGGTCTTCATGGAGTGTTATATTGGAAACATACCATGGGGCGTTAGTAATCATACGTAGTATCTTTGACTGACATCTTTGGATTATGGAAATATTGGTTTTGCTGCCACATTCCCATATTTCCACTCCATATACCCAAATTGGTTTTATTATTGTTTGTAAAGTAAGATTTTCTTGTCTAATGAGAGTTTGGAATTTCCTCCAATTTAGCAATTTGCGGTCAAGAGGTACGCAGGAAAATATAGATCTTCGTGTAAACCCTCCACTACTCTTCTCTGATTTCAAACATATTTGGCATATATAGACCAGCTCTGCTAAGAAAAATTAAATTTAATGAAAAGCCGTTCAGTTGTTTTCGAGTTATTTTATACATTGAGTCGGACGAAAAGGAAATTTTCGTTGGCTCTCAGCATGGATGTGAGCGAGCCTAAAAACTGTATGTTATACAAAAGCTAATGCATCACGTAAATTATAGTCCTCGTGAAGATCTAAAACTCTTTATTGAGTCAATCTTGGACGTGGTAAACATTTATAAAAGAGAAGGAAAATATTTGTTTACTATACATACTGTGATAACACGATTAGAGTAACCGTTGGCCTACGCGTTTGGTGCCATGATCTTCTAATCTGCCCATTGAGCCTCTACCTCGGTCTTCGTCGCTGGCTGCTGGACTGCTACGGGCGAAGGCGGCTATAGCTGGCTTTACCCTGCTTCACTTATCATACTTACACACCTCTGATCTTTAGGGTAATGGTTTTGTTTGGGCACCAGTAAACTGCTACCATCAGTTTATAGATTTATGACAGGTGTGAAGGATTGATAAGGGAGTAGCGGTCGCTGGTAGCTAGTTCGGCATGTAGAGCTGAGATTCTGTCCTCGGGCCGTCTGGCAGGGTCTCGCTCAGGAAGGGAAGTGGGAACTCCTGTTACAACACACAATTTGTTCCACAAGACACTTTATTAAACTATTGTCCGTAGTGGACGCCACTACAGCAGTAGATTGTGTTTGCGTCCGAATGGTTTGCGATCTGGAATATCATTTTTTGCAGGATCTGCGTCCGAATAGTTTGCGATCTGTAATACGACTTTCTTTTAGAATTTGCGTCCGAATGGTTTGCGATCTGGAATAAGACTTGCTTTTAGAATTTGCGTCCGAATGATATGAGATCTGGAATACCACTTTTTGCAGAAAGCCTTCTCATCGAAACTCCCGGAGTCGTCTCGGTCCACAAGTCAACTCACTAAATTACGAGGATTTGTCAATTTCAATAAATGGGAGTACACTAATTAAGTATTCCCCCAATCCCTTTAGGTATTACAGGGAATTTAGTCTCTAAAACTTTACGTAAATCCTGTCAGTTGCTTGACAATGTTAAGCTTGGTTTGGGGTTGAGAGACCACTCATCTTTTAAGTTATGGGTTCAAAACTGTCACATATTGTATTCTCCAAGGATTCAGACAAGTAAAATTTTGTGTCACTTTCTAAAGAACCAAGCTGCGGGGGGTCTTCCTCTTTCGTTCCGCATCTGCGTTGACCACTTGTTTTTCTTTTGTCTTTTTCCTTCGAGAGTTTGGGCTAAAACTCCTTCTTGAGGGGAAGAAATAGCCTATGTACTTCTCGTCCATTTGCTGCATGTAACAAGTAAACCTAACCGAACACGTTAATTTGCCTGGATCAAAACATGCTACTAAATTAAATCCAGCTGGGGTTGGCAGATCGGTCGCATTAGTTTCCATCTAACACGGCCCATGGCCTAAAATAAACGAGAATCTAAGTCAATGAAGTACACAAAACGGAAAGCAATTAATTTGAAAAATATACATATCTCATCCGAAAGCGGCCTCCGTAGTCTAGGGGTAACGTTCCCACCTCATGACTCAAGGTACGCGGGTTCAAACCCGGCGGAGGTCGTGGAATTTTTAAGGGCGGAAAAATTCAGGGAACAAGTCCTCCGGGAGGGACTTTAAGCCGTGGGTCCCGTGTCGTAGATTTACGGCACGTAAAAGATCCTCATGTCTCTAGGAGACCTTTGAGCAAAATTAGGCAAAAAGTTTCCCGCCCTAGTAGTTTCCAATGCCTCTGGTAGATGGGGAAGTTATCGGGTACCACTGCCAGAAGAGGGGGACCTAGCTGGCAGAAAGAGGCTGATAGCGAGTACCAGTACCGGTAGGGTATGGCGACAGTAGAAATTAAAGGGGGACGTACAATAGACTACTAGTCGCGGTGCATGGGGAAACCCACCCCCTCTAATACTGAA